ATAATTCAAATTCTCAGAAGTGCTTACTACAAAAATATGAATATAATCAGTCTGCCTGATCAATTTTTGACGAGAGTAAGGTATATATTAACAAATACGTACAATTGTTGAAAGATGTCGTTCCACTTTTATTCTATTACTCATGTATGAATTGAGAAATTGTGACAGTTGAATCTGTCAAAACAAATAAAATGTGCAACAGGAACAACATCTTCGTGTAATAATTATTGGCTTGTTAAGAAATTTTTGTCGTTTTTTTTGCTAAATTTATTTTTATTTTTTCAATACAAAGAATACAACTAGCTTTTAGCGATATATGCTCCATCACTATCTATGACTTGTCGCCAACGCTCTGGTAGAGAAAGGATCCCACTTTCGTAAAAGTCCTGCGACTTTTGGTCAAAGAAGTCGAGAAGTCCCATTTCTAGATCGTATTCGTCGTCGAACTTTTTCTCCTTCAGATAGTTAGAAAGAGAACGGAACAAGTGGTAGTCTGTAGGAGCCAAGTCTGGAGAATAAGGTGGATGTGGAACCGTAATCCATCCAAGCTCCAGTAATTTTTCACGAGTTAATTTTGCAACATGAGGTCTGGCATTGTCATGCAAAAAATAAATTTTATCCTGTTTTCCCTGAAGTTTGGCTGCAACTCGGTCTAATTGCTGGCAATAGAAGTCAGCAGTGATAGTGCGATTAGGTGGAAGAAGTTCCCAGTGAATAATTCCTCTTACTCCCCACCAAACGCTCAGCATAATCTTCTTTTGGTTAGAGTCATGTTTGGGCGTTGCTACACCTTTTTGTCCAGCTGCCAGCCACTGCCGCTTACGTGTATGGTTAACATATAACACCCACTTTTCATCGCCAGTAATAAGATTATTAAGCCATCGGTAGTTGCCGTGAGATGTCATTAATTCCATACAAGCATCAACTCTGCGTTGGAGCTGATGCGGTGACAAATCATGTGGTATCCAAACTCCATATTTGCACGTTTTGCCTAATTCGTGCAGATGTGTTGCCACTGTAACATGAGAGCACCCAAGGTGCTCTGCTAAACAACGTGTAGTTAATCTAGGATCATCTTCGATAAGTTCCTTTAAGCGATCGATATCCACCTCGAGTGGTCTTCCAGTATGAGGTAAATCATCGAGTTCAAAGTTACCGTTGTTGAACTGATTGAACCAACGTTGCGTTGTACGAATGGAGAGTGCATTCGTTCCCATCGTATGGCATATGTTACTTGTTGCTTCTCCTGTTTTGTGACCCAGACGAAATTCGTGAAGCAAAAGAAGTCGAAGCTCTCTACGAGATATATGCAATTCTAGTTCGCTATCAGCGTGTTTATCCATAGTTTTATTGTGGTTCGAGAGATATTTACACCGCCTTTATATACCCTTAATATGGAAATTTCCAGAACTTTCTGAACTGTTCTGGGAAAATACGAAAAAAACGACAAAAATTTCTTAACAAGCCAATAATATATTTTCTATTTGGAAAGTTGCTATTAGAAACGGACGTCCGTTATTATAATTGTTCGTTATTGGAATGTTCGTTTTTTTTTTTTTTGTTATCAATGCGGTATACTAAAGTGTATTCATTTGTTCTGCTGACTATCAATAAGAATTGAGGAAATGCTATTTTGATTATTAGTTCATTTAATTCTGGCTTTCATATTGATTCATATATTGTCTTTCTAAATGATTATTATGCTTTTTTGATTTTTTTTAAAGATTGTGTTGATTTGTTTGTTGAAAATTCAATGGAATGTCAAATAAAAAAAACGTGAAAGATAATTTAAATCGATGTTGTTTATATAATGAACTTGGATCGTGTAGTTCATACGTATCGAATAGTACGTGAAAACAGTTTTTAGCTGACACGACTTCGAGTAATATGTTTTTTAGGATTTGACAACTGGTCTTCTGATGCAGTTAATTTAAATGATTTGAAAGATAGTGCTGTTGGTTATTTAGTAGAACTCGGTGTTATTGCTAAATCAAACCAAGGATCTTACGAAATTTGTGAATCTCATCTAATTCTTAATCGTTTAGCACGTTGTATTGATACTGAAAAACCTTATCTTAAAATATGTACGTATCATTTTACTTTTTTTGCGTCTAAATAAATAATAATCGAGGTCATTGATCATTCTCATCTACTTTATCTACACACTTCCTAGGTCCTTTACACAGATACACATTCGGTTTTGGTTGGAAAGATAGTACTTATTGTGCACATATCGATCACAAAAACTCAAAGAACGAACCTCGACGAAAAAAAAGAAGAAAAACATTTTCAACAAATAATCGAATTGCACCAATTCATTTTTTTCGACATCTGGTTCAGTTTCCTTATGGTGGTCGACTCTGTGGTAATCATGTGAAACAAGTATATTCATTAATACAAACACAGGAATCATTAGCTGATGAGTTAAATACTCGTTCGGAAATTCATTCTTATGAAATTCAAGCCAATAGAAGTGATGAACTTGAAAATGTTAACACGTTATTGATATCTTTAGGACAAAGTCCTTTAAAAAGTCAAATAACAACACCTCTAGAAGAACAAACAGATGGTGCTATACGACGTGTTGTAGCTAAGCTTCGTCAAGCAGTTTCTGCTTCAGGTAAATTCTATTGCCAATAAGACTTTATTTTCTGTTTACAAAGTTTTACTCCGTTTTAGCATTAGATTTGGCTAAAGGCATTGCACCAGGACAAGATAAACTACTTTTACAACTAGCGAATTTACATGATGTTACCGAACGACGACCGTCAATTAATTCTATATCATCTGATACATTAGTCGATGAACAATATCTCAACTATTTGATTAAAATGTATGAGTCATGTAAAGAAAAAAAATTCTCTTACAATGAACAAGTCCGCATATTGACACTTATTCCTGAATCATGGAATTTTACAAATGAAACAATTCAAGAGAAATTCAACTGTACAATTCATGCTGTCAAAACAGCACGGAAATTGCGAAAAATAACTGATACACCTTTACATATTGATCAAAAAGTGTAAGAAAAAAAAAGAAATATATTACTGTCATTTTTCAATGTGCGTTCAATTTTTTAGACTAAAAATTCGACAACGTATTGATTCTTCAAAACTTGATTATTTTATATCTTGGATTATTCATTCACAGCTCCTAATTAGTATTCCTTGGGGTTCTACAAATATGAAACTTGAAAGTGGTCAAATTATCTCTTTACCTCAACAGATGCTTCAAGCTCAACAGAGCCAGATTATATATTCTTATCAACAACATTGTAAAATTGTTGGTATAGATACATTATCCGATCGAACACTTTACTCAATTTTAAATAGTTTAAATGCAAGTGAACAAAAATTTATTACAGGTCTTAATGAATTTGTCACGAGCGCCTCAGAAGCTTGGTGCAGCTTAGAAAAGATTATTCGACAATTACCAATTTCATATACAACTAAAAATGATTTATATATTTTACTTGAAAAAAGCAAAATGTATCTTAAAACAAAATATGGATGTGAATGTGGTGAAACTGCACAAACAACCACACATTGTACTATATTTGCTATGAGTGAACTGAACAATCCGTTTTATTCTCAATCATGCAATCATGACCACAACATGTACTGTGAAGGTATAAAAATCAGCAAATTTTTCTTTGATTTTAATTGACCATTCTCTTAACTACTTTCATTATAGCTTGTCTTTCAGTTTTTGTGTTATTCGATCAAATTGAAGATTATATAAATACAATTACTGATCAAGAAATGAAAGATGAAATCCTTTATGATTTTAAAATGTCATGGGATAGTATTTTTGAACTTATGGGACATAAAATACGTGCCACTCAACAGGAACAACAAAAACAACAATATATAAACGAAATGGATGAAACAACAGCATTTTTAACTATTGACTGGGCACAGAAGATCCTTCCCCAACAATTCCGGGAAGGACAAAGTTCGTACTATGGCAAAAAAGGAATGAGTCTGCTAGTAGGTTCATTTTTGTTTAGAATGCCGTCAGAAGGTAAGACACTTATGAAATATTTAATAATTCAACAAAAAAAATTGCTTTAACAAATATAGATCAACCAGTATCTAGAACATATATGCTAGCTTTGACAATTTGTTCGCAAACAGAGTTTGAGACACTGTCTTGTGGACAAATAATTCTCAAACAATTCCACGAGGATTATCCTCATATGTGAGTTTATTTTGGTTAATATCGTTTCCAATACAAAAAGGTAATCTGACATTCAAATTTATTATTCATCTTAGTACCAAACTGATAAAACGTTCAGACAATGCATCTGTACTAGCTGGTCAATCTACAATCCGATGTGAGAAAATCTTTGCTGATGGTATAGGTATTCAGCTGTTGATGCGAGACTATTCAGAAGTTCAATGTGGGAGATCAATCTGTGATCGAATGTCAGGTTCAGCAAAACTCAGAATGCGAGCATTTAACAATGCCGGAAATGATGTGATGTCAGCTTGGGATATTAAAAAAAGTATATTTAACAATTAAAATAAATTTTAAATGATCAATTATTAAATTTCGATAGGTTTTGAATATGGAGGAGGGATAAAACATTTAAAAATTGGTGTTGCTGAAGTAACTGATATAGTTCCTGAGGTGTCTTTTACATCAATACCTGAATTAACTTGTATTCGAAATATTATTTATCAGGATGAAAATTTTCTTGTACGAAAAGCAGTAAGTTCAATTTTTATTATTAATTTTCAACAATTTTTTTACAATGGAAATAATTCTAAAGTTACGGTATACTTTCTAGACTGGTGTAGGTTTAGGCAAACCAATAACATATGAACATTTCTCAATTTCATCGAATGTAAAATTGGTTGATTCCTTTGAACGATATGAATTACACGAAGAATATTCAACAAAAATGTCAACGACCAAGAGATCTGATCGAACATTAAAAACAT